TGGACACAACAAAAACAGTGTAAATGAAGAAACCATATTACTTCATCTTCTTTTGTTACGTTTGACTTTAAACTATTTATGTTAAAGATATTTTATCTGGCCCTGTAGTGGTCATCCTTTAGTATTCATATAATATGAAACATATAATGTGTATGTTCTGTTACAAAATGGACATTTGTTGTTTCTTAACTCATTTCCTTCCTCTTGGGCCTCTTCCTCATTTTAGCGAACTTCAGTCTGAATCAGAAACAAAGTACAATAGGTCTATCTGCACCATTATAGTAACTTTCACATCGCAGCTTGCAATTTTATAACAGTACAAAAAACATTGAACTTTTTTTTTTAATAACAGTAGAATATGAATCTAAATTTGGACATGAATAAATCAAAGGACCATTTGAACTGATTCACAGGAATTATTCAAACTTACCAACTCTAATGCCTTCGTCATATGTTATAATTATCATGGATGACGAATCCAAAGCCATCACAAGTCTAATAAACACAGATGCACACAAACAGATCAGCATGTGGTGTGGAAGTTTTTGGAACATACTTTTTGAAAGTGTTTGTTTCTCAGAAAATGAATGGACCATGGATTGACTCCTTGCCCTGTGTTCTCTGGTCCTAATTATCGAATAATTGTAGATGTACGTGTGTTCACAAATGCTATTTTTATCATGATGTTTTGATGAATATTGTCCAGATCTACAGCTGTTACAACACAGGGTTGTTTAGGTGGTCCGGGTTTAGTCTTTACTGAGGTGTTTAAGCTAAATCGGTTCCTCTTACTTATAATTGAGCAGCATAAACGGCCGTTTGAAAGCTGGGGTCAGCATAAAATGAATACTTTTATTTTTCTACAAGGATGCATTTAAAGGAATAGCCTAGTTCACCCAAAAATGAAAATTCTGTTAGTTTCTCACGCTTATGTCGTTTGACTTTCATTTATCTTCAGAACACAAATTAAGATATTTTTGAAGAAATCCGAGCGCTTTTTAACCCTGCATAGACAGCAACGTGACTGACATGTTCAAGGCCCAGAAAGGTAGTAAGAACATCATTAAAATAGCCCATGTGACATCAGTGGTTCAATTGTAATTTTATGAAGCTATGAGAATACTCTTTGTGTGCAAAGAAAACAAAAATAACAACTTTATTCTTCGACGCGTTCATGAGAGTACCACGATGCATGTGTGTGGTGCTGCTGACACAGGAGCTGGCATTCTGACGTAGAACGAATTAACTGCACCTTGTTTGCAAAGAGAGGAATGAACATGCATGCGTCGTGGTACTGTCGTGAACACGCGTCGAAGACTGACATGGAACAGAATAAATTGTTGAAAAAACACATATTGCCTCATAGGCTGTTATTTTAAAGGGGTCATATGATGCTGCTAAAAAGAACATTATTTTGTGTATTTGGTGTAATGAAATGTTTATACGGTTTAAAGTTAAAAAAACGCATTATTTTCCACATACTGTACATTATTGTTTCTCCCCTATGCCCCGCCTTTTTGAAATGCGTCGATTTTTACAAAGCTCATCGGTCTGAAAAGCGAGGTGTGCTCTGATTGGCCAGTTATCCAGTGCGTTGTGATTGGCCGAATACCTCAAGCGTGAGACGGAAATGTTACGCCCCTTACCAAATTGTGACGATGCCCTGTCAGGCCGGAGCGATGAGACAAAAACATGAAAACCCATTACAAATGAGGCATTTGTTGCATCCAGTGGGGACATAATTACTGATTATAATGACTTATACTGTCTTT